GCTTTTTTTTTTTTTTTTTGTTATTTTGTTTTTAAGTCGTTCTACTTTCATTTCAAACCGTAACATTCCGAATGTTTGCATGCCAAAGTGGTTAACCTTAACAAAAAAAATTAATTTTATTTGCTTGTGGCTCCGAAAAAGCATTACGTAACATTATCTCTAATAACCTTCAACTTATACGTTCGTGGTTTTGCAACAATATTACTCCGTACCATCGTAAGATAATTTCAAGTAGACAATCGATGGTTTTGTGGTTCCAAGGGACTGTAGGGTCGATGTACATGCAATTGGTTTTCGCAGCAATGGATTTAGGACACGAGAAGATGGTAATGTCCTTAAATGAAAAGAATGAAAATGTGCACTAGGAGAAGTTTCTGGATTTTTTCTAGTATATTCGGACCAAAATCGGTCTGAAAAATGAAAAGCATGGAAGCTTCTGGATTCTTTGCATATATTCACACCAAAACCGGTCCGTATATATATTCATACTTAATTTAATTTAGCTTTAGGATTAAAATCCCTCGGAGTGCCTATATTCAGACCAATATCGGTTCGTATAACGTTATATGGACCGATATATACACCTGAACAGCAGCTTTTTATTTTTTTTGTTATTTCGTGCTTAAGTCGTTTTGCTCTCGTTTTAAACCGTAACATTCTGAATGTTTGTAAGCCAAACTGGTTAACCTTAAGAAAAAAAATGAATTTTATTTGCTTCTGACTCCGAAAGAGCATTACGTAACATTATCTCTAATAACCTTCAACTTATACGTTCGTGGTTTTGCAACGATATTACTCCGTACCATCGTAAGATAATTTCAAGTAGACAATCGATGGTTTTGTGGTTCCAAGGGACTGTAGGGTCGATGAAAATATAATTGGTTTTCACAGGAATGGATTTAGGACACGAGAAGATGGTGATGTCCTTAAATAAAAAGAATAAAAATGTGCACTGTGAGAAGTTTCTGAATTTTTTCTAGTATATTCGGACCAAAATCGGTCTGAAAATAAAAAGCATGGAAGCTTCTGGATTCTTTGCATATATTCAGACCAAAACCAGTCCATATATATATTCATACCTAATTTAATTTAGCTTTAGGATTAAAAATCCCTCGGAGTGCCTATATTCGAACCATTACCGGTTCGTATAACATTATACGGACCAGTATCGATCCGTATATACACCTAAACAGCAGCTTTTTATTTTTTTGTTATTTCGTGCTTAAGTCATTCTACTCTCATTTTAAACCGTAACATTCCGAATGTTTGCAAACCAAAGTAGTTAACCTTAAGAAAAAAAAATGAATTTTATTTGCTTGTGACTTCGAAATAGCATTACAGAACATTATCTCTAATAACCTAAAACTTATACATTCGTGGTTTGCAACGATAGTATTCCGTACCATTGTAAGATAATTTTACGTAGACAATCGATACTTTCGTGGTTCTAAGGGATTGTAGGGTCGATGTATATGCAATTAGTTTTCGCAGGAATGGATTGAGGACACGAGAAGATGGTGATGTCTTTAAATGAAAAGAATAAAAATGTGCACTGTGGATTTTTTCCCAACATATTCGGACCAAAATCGGTCCAAATATGTTAATGTGATCCCTTGTAGGCTTTAATACATATACGGACCGAAATCGATCCGTAATTAATTTATGCGTAAAATTTTTACCATAAATTTGAATCTTTCTGATTGTGCGCTAATTTATTTATATTCGAACCGATTTCGGTCCGAATATAATTAATGCGCCAAAAATTTTTCTGAAAAAATTGAAATTTTTTGGTGAGGCGTGCCAATAAGGATTATACGGACCGAAAACGATCCGTATAAGCCTTACATATATCACCACTTCTCTTCCTTTTCCTCATTTTCTCTTCTTCCTCTCTTTCTTTTCTCTTCTGCCTCTCGTCTCCTTCTTCTTTTTCTTACTTTTTTTTTTCTACTTCCTTTTCTTTGTCATTTCCCCTCTTCTTTTCTCTCTTCCCTTTTCTTTCTCATTTCCTTCTATTTCCTTTTCTTTCCTCTCTTTTTTCTCTCCACTTCTTCATCTTTTCTTTCCTTTTTTTTTTTCTATTTTCTCATGTATTTTAAAAAAAATTTTTGTTGTCTTTTTGTATTGGTTTATTTTTATTTTTTATAATATGTTTATATTTCATTAACTGACTTTTGTTTCTTTTTTTTTTTTAAGGTTACATTTGGTGAACTTTAAAATTTTTCATATATATATGTTTATTTTATTACATTTTTCA